TCCTCCTGCCTCAGCCTCCCCAAATGCTGGGATTACAGGCTTGAGCCAGGCTGTTTTTAATACTAAGAAATTTACAATTTACAATTACACCTCACAATGGCTTAAACCGGGGGTGGTCCAATCTTTTGCATTCCCTGACCCACACTGTCTCCCATCACTCCCAGATGGGACTATCTAGTTGCAGGAAAACAAGCTCAGGGCTCCCAGGGATTCTACACCATTGTGAGTTGTGTAATTATTCGTTGAATATTACAATGTAATAATAATAATAATAGAAATAAAGTCTACAATAAATGCAATGTGCTTTAATCATCCTGAAACCATCCACCCCGCCAACCCCCAGTCTGCGGAAAAATTGTTATGAAACTGGCCCCTGGTGCCTAAAAGGTTGGGGACCGCTGCACTCCAGCATCCCACACGAGGAGAATGGGGATAAGATGGAGAATCACTGAAGATCTTTAATCAGAAGGGTGATATGTTCATTTGTACTCTATAAACATTTGTGTTTGTATTTTATAAACATTTTCTTGGGATCATAACAACAGATGCGTTTTAGAAGGTTCCCAAGGTATGAAGGGTAACACATGAAGACGTATCTAGGAGTCACATGGAAGCCAGCATTTTGTAAGGGGATTAAAATAAAGGGAATGGCAGAGGACATCTTTATGCACGGAGGAGAAGGGCCCAGATATCAAGAGAAAACAAGAGACAAGGAACTCCACAGAGAGTAATTGCCAGAAAAATTTGTAGGTCTTTTGAAGTCTGACTGTTCTTCCTAAAACGGGGCTTCTGGGATACCCCTGCCTGTTTCCCATGAGCCCTCTTTTCTAAAACACAAGTAGATTTTTTTCCTTGCTACAAAATGGCCCATGATTAGCACACTAGGTTGGGCAAAAACAGAGCCAAGTATATGTTCCAAGGTGACTGTGGTGAAGAAAAAAAGGAAAGTCTTAAAATGGACTTTCACTTCTGTGTTTGCGTAAGGCTAAAAGGGAAGATGCCTTAGGGTTGACCGGATGGGGATATTGCTGTCTGTGCTGCAAAAATCCCTGACCCTTCTGGTAACTGAAACATCGGAAATGGCCTCGACGAGCAGTACAACTTCCCCGTAAAGCACTGGACTGAGGTGGTGAAGCTAGATTGCCTGGACTAGAATCCCAGGAACACTGTTCACTAGCTCCAGACAAGCCAGCTAATCCGGAGGTCTGAAACATTTCCCCCAACTTTTTTTTTTTTTTTTTTGAGACAGAGTCTCACTGTATCGCCCAGGCTGGAGTACAGTGGTGTGATCTTGGCTCACTGCAGCTTTGCCTCTTAGGTTCAAGCGATTCCCCTGCCTCAGCCTCTCCAGTAGCTGGGATTACAGGTGCCTGCCACCGCTCCTGGCTAATTTTTGTAATTTTTAAGTAGAGATGCGGTTTTGCCATGTTGACCGGCTGGTCCTGAACTCCTGACCTCAAACAATCGATCGCCTTGGCCTCCCAAAGTGCTGGGATTACAGGAGGAAACCACTGCAATGGGCTACAAACATTTCCTATAAAGGGCCAGAGAGTCAATATATTTCGTTTGGCAGGCCATCACAACTCCTTGGCTCTGCTGTTGTAGCCTGAAAACAGCCACAAGCAAAGCTGTAAACGATGAGCATGACTATGTGTCAATAAAACTTTATTTAAAACACTACAATTGATTTCATATAAGTTTTACATGGCACAAAATACCCTTCATTTGATTTTCTTTAGCTGGTAAGAAACATTAAAGCCATTCTTGGCTCTCAGGCCATAAAAAAACAAGTGGTGGACTAGATTTGACCCCTAATTTAACTGCACTGAGTCCCAGTCACTTCACCTGTGAATTGAGAGCAATGATACTTACAGAGGTGTTTTCTGGAGCAGAACAAATAAGATCAGTGATACAAAGCACTTGGCATGAATTCCAGTGCAATACATATTATTGATATCTTAGTAATTACATAAACCTCTCTTTCTGCTGTTTCACATTCTCTGTGGTGAACCCATCCATGCTTAAAACTTGAACCACACCTCAGCTAACATTCACCAGATCCCTGTCTCTAGCTCAGACCTACCCTTGATGTCCAGACACATCATTTTGTGTTCCTGTTTCCTTTCAAACTCATCTCCAGCCTTTGTTCTCCTCACCTTCTCCCATAACTCCAAGGACTAAATTGTGTCACACTCCCCTTCAAATTCTTAGGTTGAAGCCCTAACCCCATGATATGGTTTGGTTGTGTCCCCACCCAGATCTCATCTTGAATTGTAGCTCCCGTAATTCCCACGTGATGTGGGAGGAACTAGGTGGGAGATAATTGTTTCATGGGGGCAGTTTTCCCCCATAATGTTCTCATGGTAGTGAATATGGCTCACGAGATCTGACGATTTTGTAAGGGGTTTCTCCTTTCACTCGGCTCTCATCCTCTTTTGCCTGCTGCCATGTAAGACATCCCTTTGTTCTTCCTTTGCCTTCCGCCATGATTGCGAGGCCTCCCCAGCCATGTGGAACAGTGAGTCCATTAAACCTCTTCCCTTTATAAATTACCCAGTTTCAGGTATGCCATTATTAGCAGCATGAGAACTGACTAATACACCCCAGCACATCAGAATGTGACTGTATTTGGGGATACAACCTTTAAAGAGGTAGTTAGCTGAAACTGAGGTCATTAGGGTGTGCCCCAACTCAATATGATTGACATCCTTATGAAAAGAGGAGATCCAGACACAGACAGGCACAGAGGGAAAACTAGGTGAAAACATGAGGAGGAGGCGGTATCTACAAGCCAAGGAGAGAGGACTCAGGAGGAATCAACCCTGCTGACACCTTGATCTTATACTTCCAGCTGACAAAACTGTGAGAAAATATATTTCTATTGTTGTAGCCACCCAGTCAATGGTATTTTGTTATGGCAGCTCTAGCAAACTAAACATTCTGCTTCTTTTCATTGATTCTCATCTCAATGACAGCCCCCAAATCCACACAGTTACCTTGCTGCAACAGTTCTGAAGAAAATGGCCACAATATTCTTGGACACTCCCTCCACTGAGAGGAGGACAGGCATATTCTATCCCCTCTGCCCTGGAACCTGGGTAGGGTTGGGACTACTTTGACTGAAGAATATGGTAAAAATGACTCCACATAGCTTTCAAGGCTAGGTCAAGAAAGGCTAGGAAGCATCTTCCAGTTCTCCTGGGACACGTGTTCTGGAGGAAGGCAGCCATTGTGTAGGGACTCTGATTCCCCTGAGACCACCATGCTGGAGAGGCTGCCTGTAGGCACTTGAGGCAATCCCAGCCTAGTTCAGCATTTGAGTCATCCCAACTCAGGCGTCTGACATGTGAATGAAGGAGCTCCAGATGACTTCAGTACCCAGTCTTCTAGTCATCCCTAAACCTTTGAGTTTTGGGTGGCAGAGACAAGCATCTCCTCTGTGCCTTATCCTAATTCCCAACCCACATAATCCATGAACATAATGAAATGGTTGTTTTACATGCTATGATTTGGGTGGTTATACAGCAATCATGAATTATGAATGCGGGCTTCATAAAGACCCTTCATGTTTCCTCATTCTCCAGAGCCATTTGGTCTCCAAGCACAGTCTACCAAGCCTGGAAATCGCTCCCTAAACTACCCCTCCCCTGTAGCACACTACTTCAGCACAGGCAACTATTTGGCAAGTTCACCTTGATCTCTGGCAACTTCTTACCCTTTAAGACCTCTGCCTCCAACTGGGAACATTCTCAGAGCCATCCCTTTGCAGGAGGACTCTAGAACAATGTTTTTTGGAAGCATACATCTGACTAGTCACTCTCCTCTTTTCATAAGCTTTTTGTGTTCTTAAAGAGAAATTCCAAGTTCTTTTTGTAGCATTCAAGACCATCCAAGAAATTGCCTCTGCCACCCTCTACATACTTAATGCTTATTGCTGTCTCTCTCATCATCTGTGCTCCAGTAACCAAAAGTAACCTGCTTTTTTGTGACCCCTTTCCTGGGTGTTTTTACTCCCCTCTGACTAGAATGCATTATTTGTTCTCCTTTAGTCTCCTTAAAGACTCTCCTGATTCTATAAGACTCAGCCTAGATGTTCCCTCCTCCGGATATTGACTCTAGATCTGTGAATCTGAGTTAGTTGTTCCTTTTAGGGGATCCCACAAGGAGCCTGCCTATCACTACATACCCCCACCCTATTGTAACTAAGCACTGCATTCTTACCTCTCTATTCAGGTGGTCCGCAGAGCCCATGCCTGATTGATTTCTATGTCTCCAGCAGCCAGCAAGGAAGCACCTCTTTAGAGACCTGCACCTATACAATACCTACCACCTCCTATTTCTTGATATGTGAACTCCATTGAGAGCAAACGAGTAACTGTAGGTAATGTGCCTTCTTCTTTTCTTTTTTTTGGACGGAGTCTCGCTCTGTCGCCCAGGCTGGATTTCAGTGGCACAATCTCGGCTCACTGTAACCTCTGCCTCCCGGGTTCAAGTGATTCTGCCGCCTCAGCCTCCCAAGTAGTTGGGAACACAGGTGCCTACCACCATGCCCAGCTAACTTTTTTTTTGTATTTTTAGTAGAGGTGGGGTTTCACCATGTTGGCCAGGATGGTTTTGAACTCCTGACCTCAAGTGATCCACCCACCTCGGCCTCCCAAAGTGCTAGGATTACAAGTGACAGCCACAGCGCCCGGCCAGTAATGTGCCTTCTTTAGTTCTGTGAGCCATTCTAACAAATTATCAAAAGAGAGGAAGGGGTTATAAACATCCCCCACCCCCAATTTACAGCCAGTCAGTCAGAAGTACAGGTGGCCACCTGGGACTTGTATTGGTGTCTGAAGTGAGGACAGTCTTGGGAGAGTAAACCCTTTAACTTGTGGGATCTGACACTAACTCCAGGTGGACAGTGTCAGAGCTGAACTGAATTGTGAGATACGCAGTGATGTCCCCAGAGAATTGGAGAATTGCTTGATATGGAACAGACCCACACATTTGATGCCAGAAGGACTGCATAAGTCGAGAATTGAGTTTGACTTAACTATCCCATTTGGGCTTTAATATATGGCTGAAACTCTTCTCACTTCAGTAATTGTTTCTTTCATTTTCGTGAAACTGAAGAAGGAAGGGCTGGACATTCAGGTTCCTTGACCCTTGACATTTGGAAGCATTAACTCTAGTCTCTCACAGAAAGCTAGAGATGAAGGAACATTCAGACACATAGGTTTCCAAGAAGAGTCCACTGACAACATACCCAAGGTGTCTTCTGAAAATTATAAGATATCCTGAGTTTCTGTTAGGGGATTGGTTCCAGCTCCATTGTCCCTCCCCTGTCATTTAGTAGTCTCTGTAAAAGCCCTTAGAGCTTGTGTTACTCCACAGGAAGCCAAGAAACACACAGGAAGAGGAGCTTAGCTGCTGGTAAGTTGGGGACTGACAATTTAAAATTTATCGTTGGAACTCCTGCTCTCTGACAAACACCTCCCTAAATTCTAGAGTAGTGCTGTTAATGGAGTATCCACTTGCCACAGGCAACTTTTGAGTGCTTATGTTTCTATCTTGATCTGAAATGTGCTTAGGTGTGAAATATACTTAGTGTAGTTTAATCACTAGTATGATCAAAATAATACAACTTATCTCGTTAATAACTTTAATTTTGGTTACATGTTCCAATGATCTTTTTTTATTTGTGGGGTTAAATGAAACATATTATTATAATTAATTTATCCCAGTGATTTTATTTTTTTAATATGGCTACTAGAAAGTTGTAAGTCACGTGTGTGGCTAGCATTTAGGGCTTGCATTACCCCGTCTCTACTAAAAATACAGAAAACAACAACAACAACAAAATAGCCGGGCGTAGTGGTGGGAGCCTGTAATCCCAGCTACTCAGGAGGCTGAGGCAGGAGAATCGCTTGAATCCAGGAGGCGGAGGTTGCAGTGAGCCAAGATCGCGCCATTGCACTTCAGCCTGGGCGAGAAGAGTGAAACTCTACCTCAAAGATAAATAAATAAACATGTGCAGGAGCCAGGTGTGAGAAGCTTAAGAGGAAGAGCACGGTAGGCAGAAGGAACAGAGAAAGCAGAAGCCCTGAGATGACAATGAGTGGCATGTTCAAGGAATCAGAGCCTGCTGTGGGTGGAGCACAGTGTGCCCCACGAGAGTGCAGCAATGAGATCTGAGGGATGCACAGGGCAGGTCCAGGGGTGCTTGAGGGAACTTAAGATAAGGATAAGTTAGAAGTTTGAACCCATTGGAAGGTGTTGAAAATAACATCACAGGCCGGGCGCGGTGGCTCAAGCCTGTAATCCCAGCACTTTGGGAGGCCGAGACGGGCGCCTTACGAGGTCAGGAGATCGAGACCATCCTGGCTAACACGCTGAAACCCCGTCTCTACTAAAAAATACAAAAAACTAGCCGGGCGAGGTGGCGGGCGCCTGTAGTCCCAGCTACTTGGGAGGCTGAGGCAGGAGAATGGCCTAAACCTGGGAGGCAGAGCTTGCAGTGAGCTGAGATCCGGCCACTGCACTCCAGCCTGGGCGACAGAGCGAGACTCCATCTCAAAAAAAAAAAAAGAAAAAAGAAAACGTCACCATTTTATTGGACTTTTTTTTTTTTTGAGACACAGTCTGCTCTGTCGTCCAGGCTGAAGTGCAGTAGCGCAGTCTCGGCTCACTGCAAACTCTGCCTCTCAGGGTCAAGCGATTCTCCTGCCTCAGCCTCCCGAGTACCTGGGATTACAGGCTCCCACCATCACGCCCAGCTAATTTTTGTATTTTTAGTAGAGATGGGGTTTCATCATGTTGGGGTTTCATCATGTTGGGCAGGTTGGTTTCGAGCCCCTGACCTCAGGTGATCCACCCACCTTGGCCTCCCAAAGTTCTGGGAGGCATGTCACCATGCTGGCCCTTATTGGACTTTTTTTTTTTTTTCTTTTTGAGACAGAGTTTTGCTCTTTTTGCCCAAGCTAGAGTGCAATGGCGCAATCTGGGCTCACTGCAATCTCCGCCTCCCTTGTGCAAGCGATTCTCCTGCCTCAGCCTCCGAGCAGCTGGAATTACAGGCATGTGCTACCACGCCCGGTTACTTTTGTATTTTTAGTAGAGATGGGGTTTCTTCATGTTGGCCAGGTTGGTCTCGAACTCCCGACCTCCGGTGACCCGCCTGCCTCGAACTCCCAAAGTGCTGGGATTACAGGAGTGAGCCACTGTGCCTGGCCCTTTCTGAACTTTTAAAAAGCTCATTTGGTTTTCTTCTGGAGATTGGATTGTAGGGCAGGGAAAAGCAGGACCAGGAACAAGTTTATTTGCAAAGTTGGTGCAAACATTCCTGCCTGACAGGACCATGGACACAGGTTGTGGAGATGGAGATGGCTCTGGTTGTGCATTCAGCAGGTTCTGCAGATAGAATTAATAGGACTTGGATGGCACTGTGGTGAGAGAAAGGAAAATGAAAGATAAGTTCTAGTTTGGAAGCTTTAACAACTGAATGTTTAAACTCAAATAGACACAAAATATTGGAAGAGTGGCAGGTTTGGGAGGATGAGACAATCAGCTGTTTGGTTGAGCCACGTTAGGTTTGGAGTGTCTACGGGACTCCCGTGGGGAGAGGTTATATCAGACTGGAGCACCAGAGAGAGGCCAAGGCTGATAATTTAGATGAAAAGACAGCATGATATTTTAAGCCCTGAAACTGGATAATATCACCTGTAGAAAGACTATATAGAGATAAAAGAGGTGGGGAACAAGTAAAAGCTGCAGGATACTCCTAAATTTAGAGTCAAACTTAGAGCAGAAAATACTAACAAAGGGGACTGAAAAGAGATGGCCAACGGAGATTTAAAGGCAAGTGAAAGTGTGTTGTGTGTACATTTATCATCTCACGGCACAGGAAAAACGTGATTTAAGGAGAAGGAAGAGATCCAATGGGTTCTATATCACGAAGATATTGAGATAAGAACCAAGATGGATTTGCAGCCACTGCATTTGCAGCCTTGAGGTCATAAGCATCCTCAGGAAAATGCACCATGGGTCAGTGCTAAGGACTGGAGTCAATACAGACTGGATTCAGGAGAAAAAGTGAGGCAAGGAATCTGAGGGTGCAAACACAGACAACTCCTTCCACAATCTGGCTGCAAATTCTTTTCACAGAAAGAATTCTCTTAGGAGAAATAGGGTTAACACCGGAGAGGAATATAGTCCAAGGATCTTTTTGGTTGTTTGCCGAGACCAGCTCAGTCGGGGAGACCCTAACCCAGCAGCGCTAGAGGAATTAAAGACACACACACAGAAATACAGAGGTGTGAAGTCAGGAATCAGGGGTCTCACAGCCTTCAGAGCTGAGAGTCCCGAGCAGAGATTTACTCACATATTTATTAACAGCAAACCAGTCATTAGCATTGTTTCTATAGATACTAAATTAACTAAAAGTATCCCTTATGGGAAACGAAGGGATGGGCTGAATTAAATGAATAGGTTGGGCTAGTTAACTGCAGCAGGAACACCCCGTTAAGACGCAGTTCGCTCATGCTAATTGTTTGTGGCTTAAGAATGCCTTAAACGGTTTTCCGCCCTGGGCGGGCCAGGTGTTCCTTGTCCTCATTCCCATAAACCCACAACCTTCCAGCTTGGGCATTAGGGCCATTATGGACATGCCATAGTGCTGCAGAGATTTTGTTTATGGCCAGTTTTTGGGGGGGCTTGCTCCCAACAGTTGTTTTTTGGGGGTGGTTTTTATTTTGTTTTTGTTTTGTTTTGTTTTATTTGTTTGTTTGTTTTTGAGACGGACTCACTGTCGCCCAGGCTGGAGGGCAGTGGTGCGATCTCAGCTCACTGCAACTTCCGCCTTCAAGGGTTCAAGAGGTCTTCCTGCCTCAGCCTCCCAAATAGCTGGGATTACAAGTGCGCGCCATCACACCCGGCTAATTTTTGTATTTTTAGTAGAGATGGGATTTCACCATGTTGGCCAGTCTGGTCTCAAACTCCTGGCCTCAAGTGATCCACTCGCCTCAACCTCCCTAAATGGTGGGATTACAGGCGTGAGCCACTGCACCCAGCCAAGAATAGTTTCTTTTTATAGGGAGGGGATAGGATAACGTTTATGTAATAGTGAGAATGATCTAGTAGAAATAAAATCTTGAGGGTTCGGTTTTGGCAGAAAATGGAAGGACCAATGCAGGGGGCAAAGTTTGTGGGAAGGTGAGAGGACATCCCCGGCCCATGTAGGGAGGGAAATTATTGGAAAGAACAAGAATTCTTTATTCACAGTGACAGGGGCAGGTAGACTGAGGGTCAGGGGAGAAAAGGTTGAAAATTTCACATCTAGTTATCACCATTTTCTCATTATAATGTCAGTCAACAGCATCTGCTGGGAGTGGGAAAAACACAGTAAATGAGGTATTTTTTGGAGAAAGCAGGACTGAAATAATTAAGGTGTGGGATAGCAAGCGCGCTGGAGAAGTGGAGTAACCTAATGAGGAACTGCTGAGTTTTCATTTGACATCTATGGTCATAAATTCAATTGCAACCCTCAATAATCGTGCAAGTCACTTCCCCTCTTTGAGCCGTACTTTCCTACATATTATGCAAGGACGGCACTTGTCCCAAAGCAAGGATGTTGTAATCAGAGATGATAAAATATACAGTGACTGGCACATATTAAGGACTCATCAAATAGCAGCCCGCATAATCAGTACAGGTATCACCTGTGGTTCGCAGTTCTTCTCCTTACGTTACAACTAGGGTGGACCCAAAACTTTGCAATTTTTGCCATGTTAATCTGTCCCCACCTGTCATTTCACAATCATCCTTCCTTGTTGTATCAACATTTTTTTTGTTGTTTTTTTGAGACGGAGTCTCACTCTTTTGCCCAGGCTGGAGTACAGTGGCACAGTCTGGGCTCACTGCAACCTCTACCTCCCGGACTCAAGCGATTCTCCTGCCTCAGCCCCCCAGGTAGCTGGGATTACAGGCACCCGCCACCATGCCCAGCTAATTTTCGTATTTTTAGTAGAGACAGGGTTTCACCATGTTGGCCAGGCTGGTTTCGAACTCGTGACCTCAAGTGATCCACCTGTCTTGGCCTCCCAAAGTGCTAGGATTACAGGTGTGAGCCACCACGCCCAGCCTGTATCAACATTTTAAAATGAATTTGAGATTATGGACAGATCATGTCTTCTAAGTGCCTCGTAGAATGTTTGGAGGGTGGATAGAGAAAATCTGAGTCTGTTGAGGAACTATGGGGTGGAAAAGGGTTAACAGCACAATTCTGTTGTAATCAGTCTGGCTGAGCTCCAATTCTGGCTCTACCTCTTTCTACCTGGGAACGTTGAACAATTAACATAGCCCATCTAAGCCCATCTTAACTTCCTTGTCTGTACAATGGTTATACTAATTATTAGGTTGCTGCAAAAGTAATTGCTGTTTTTGCTATTATTTTCAATGGCAAAAGCCGCAGTTACTTTTGCACCAACCTAATATCACTAAGATTAGTCAATATTCACCGTGTCTGAGGGTGTGCTCAGTGCTTACACATATTAACACAGCCCATCCACACATCCCGTGAGAGGCGTCGTTAGGGCTAAAGAAGCTCTTGGCGTGTGGGTAATGTTCATACGTAGAAGCAAATGTTGCTCTGAGCATCGTTCTTGTCCTGACCTTGAGCTTCATAATGGATTGAGCCCCAGGACACAGCACACAGCCTGGTGAGGGCCAAGAGTTCCCATTTGTCATAGATGTACTCAGTCTAGCCTAAAAGATTTCCATGTCTATTCTCACTTAATCTTCACCCGAAAGTTAGACTTCACCATAAAATTGTCCTCGTTCTGCAGAGCAGAAAACCGAGGCTTAAAGAGATATCACTAAGAACTCATAGTGAGGAGACATCACAGATGAGATTAGAAGAGAGATCTAGCTGACTCCAGAGTCCAGTATTTCTTTTTTTTTAAGACAGAGTCTCGCTCTGTCTCCCAGGCTGGAGTGCAGTGGCATGGCTCACTGCAACCTCCGCCTCCCGGGTTCAAGCGATTCTCTTGCCTCAGCCTCCCAAGAAGCTGGGACTATAGGCGCGAGCCACCAGGCCCGGCTAATTTTTTGTATTTTCAGTAGAGACGGGGCTTCACTATATTGCCCAGGGTGGCCTGGAACTCCTGACCTCAGGCAATCCGCCTTCCTTGGCCTCCCAAAGTGCTGGGATTACTGGCGTGAGCCACTGCACCCGGCCGAGCCCAGTATTCTTTATAACAGTGACTCTCAGTTGGGGGTAACTTTGCCTCTGAGGGGACCTTTGACAATGTTTATGGAACCTGTCGATTGTCATTTCTGGAGCAGGAGTTGCTACTGGAATCTGTGGATAGAGGCCAGGGGTGCTGCTAAACATCCTACTGTGTCCAGAACGGTCCACCACAACAAAGAATTACCCAGACCCACATGTCAATGGTGCCAAGGTTAAGAAACCCTGAGCTACATTAAATAATGTCCCATGGAAGAAGACCTCAGTGAAACTCACTGGTAATAGCAGGAGGAAAAGAAGGAAATAAGTGAAAGGAAGAAGGCTAAAAATCATCAGACTGGGGCATAGCCCTATCCTAGTAATCTTGGGGGACCCCCTTTCAAAGGCAGGACTTCAGTATGCAAAGGCAGTGGCTCTGGAGTTGTTCATCTTGGTTTTCATATCTTGCTGCCTCCACTGACTGGCTGGGCATGATGCTGAAAAACTACAGGAGTCCCCAGGCCACGAATTCCCTCGGATGTGACGGCTGTTTCACAATGTTATGAGCATTAGATATGAACAAGTGCTAGGGAATTGCTATTTCTCTTAAAGATGCTGAATAGCCCAGTCTGAGATGATTCTCAAATTCTCATGGCCATAATAAATCATCCTGACTTTTACACAAACAGATTCTAGAGTGAGATTTATGGATATAATTATTTTTCATTTTCATTGTAAGTTCAGGGGTATATGTGCAGGTTTGTTATATAGGTAAACTTGTATCCTGGTGGTTTATTGTACAGATTATTTCATCACTGAGGTATTAAGCCTAATACCCACTACTTATTTTTCCTGATCCTGTCCCTCTTCCCACCCTCCACCTTCCGGTAGGCCCCAGTGTTTTCCTCTTTGCGTCCATGTGTTCTCATCATTTACCTCTCATTTATAAGTGAGAACATGTGGTATGTGGTTTTCTGTTCCTGTATTAGTTTGCTAAGGATAATGAATACAATTTTAACAGGCAGCCTGGATGTTTCTGGTAAAGTCCACAGACCACAGCATAAGAAAATGTGCTCAAGTGGGCTGGGCGCGGTGGCTCACGCCTGTAATCCCAGCACTTTGGGAGGCCGAGGCGGGCGGATCAGGAGGTCAGGAGATCGAGACCATCCTGGCTAACACTGTGAAATCCCGTCTCTACTAAAAAAAAAAGTACAAAAAATTAGCCAGGCATGGTGGCGAGCACTTGTAGTCCCAGCTACTCAGGAGTCTGAGGCAGGAGAATGGCATGAACCCGGGAGGCGGAGCTTGCAGTGAGCCAAGATCGTGCCACTGCACTCCAGCCTGGGCCACAGAGTGAGACTCTGTTTCAAGGAAAAAAAAAAAAAAAAAAAAAAACCAAGAAAATGTGCTCAAGTGGCATGGGACTTTGTGTTGAATTGGATACAAAAATTACAGATGTGACCTGGACCAGAGGCAGGCACTACATGTTTTGGATTTTTGTTCTTAAAAGAAAAAAAAAAACAACAAAACTTGATCTGAGAAGTTCTGCAGGTTATATTCTTACAATGCTATTGTCCACAATTCAGTCACATGTCCACTGCTAAAGCAATCCCTTGCAAAGTAAAAGGAATTCTCGTTAGTGCTAATTAAACTAGTCAAGATTTACTCCCAATATGGAGAAAGGACACCTTCTCTTCAGGGTGAGTAACTAAACACACGATTGTGGTTTTTTGGGCAGAGAAGAATGGGGAACAGTTGCTGGGTGGGCAACCAGCAATATCTGTCAAGAGTAAGGGTTTAGAAGTCAGACCAAGCTGAACTGAAGTCCTTAATCTATTATCTACTCCCTAAGTGACCTTCAACACATTTCACAATTGCCCTGAGCTTTAATTTCTTCTAATGAAAACTAGAAGTAATGAATATTACACAGCTATTACGTAAGCCAAACTGGATCCCGTATGTAGTAATTAACACAATGCATAGTCTCTATTACAAGTATTAATATGGCTTATTATTCTCATAGTCTGTATCCCACAGACACCAAAGCTATACAAATCGGTACTGATTATTTGCATTCCAAACAGAGATGAGCTCCACATCAAGCAGGTACAGGAAAAAGCAGAGGGTAGAAAGCAGAGATAGAACTCTCTTTGCTGACTTCCTCTAGTGCAGAATCCTCAGGATATAACATACTACTACATATTACCAGTGACTTCTCAAGATTCTCTTCAACAATAACCTCAAGCCAAACCCTTCAACTTTATCTTGAGTACTAGCCAAGCAATAGGTCAAGGGTTCTCACATCTGTGAGGGTCAGGAGTTGGGAGACTGGAAGAACCTGGGGCTGAAAGAGGTTGCAGAGCTTGCCAGCATGTTTGCATTGAGTGATGGGAGACACAGATGTGAACCTTCTGACTCTGAGTCTTATGCCTTCCTCACAATGTTCAGGCTGCCTATGCTCGATTTTCCATTGCCCGTACAACATAAGATCAGTATTTTTGCTGGTGGACAAGCCTTGTAATCCTCTTGGTGAAGTGATCAGCCCGATAAGTGAAGTGCGTATTGATAATGATGGGAATATGGAGGACTATCCCTTCCCAAAGGAGCATCCAAGAGAATGCCAATTCCATAGCACCACTGTCAACAAGGCTTAGTAGATAGAGTGGGTCTCCTGGTAGGAGTGGGAGATTTAGTGGAAGTTGATGTGAGCTATAAATACAGATGCTGTAAGATGGTTCCACAGCTGAGAAATGGCCATTGTTGGAATGTTTCAGGTGCGGGCAAGATGGAAACCAACCTCTCCACTCCTCTGAATGAGTATGAAGAAGCGTCCTATGAGTCTGCTGGCTACACTGTTCTGCAGATCCTCCCGTTGGTGGTGCTTGGGGTCACCTTTGTCCTCGGGGTCCTGGGCAATGGGCTTGTGATCTGGGTGGCTGGATTCCGGATGACACGCACAGTCACCACCATCTGTTACCTGAACCTGGCCCTGGCTGACTTTTCTTTCACGGCCACGTTACCATTCCTCATTGTCTCTATGGCCATGGGAGAAAAATGGCCTTTTGGCTGGTTCCTGTGTAAGTTAATTCACATCGTGGTGGACATCAACCTCTTTGGAAGTGTCTTCTTGATTGGTTTCATTGCACTGGACCGCTGCATTTGTGTCCTGCATCCAGTCTGGGCCCAGAACCACCGCACCGTGAGTCTGGCCATGAAGGTGATCATCGGACCTTGGATTCTTGCCCTAGTCCTTACCTTGCCAGTTTTCCTCTTTTTGACTACAGTAACTATTCCAAATGGGGACACGTACTGTACTTTCAACTTTGCATCCTGGGGTGACACCCCTGAGAAGAGGAAGAATGTAGCCATTACCATGCTGACAGCCAGAGGGATTATCCGGTTTGTCATTGGCTTTAGTATGCCGATGTCCATTGTTGCCATCTGCTATGGGCTCATTGCAGCCAAGATCCACAAAAAGGGCATGATTAAATCCAGCCGTCCCTTACAGGTCCTCACTGCTGTGGTGGCTTCTTTCTTCATTTGTTGGTTCCCCTTTCAACTGGTTGCCCTTCTGAGTACCGTCTGGCTCAAAGAGATGTTGTTCGAGGGCAAGTACAAAATCATTAATATCCTGGTTAACCCAACGAGCTCCCTCGCCTTCTTCAACAGCTGCCTCAACCCCATGCTCTATGTCTTTGTGGGCCAGGACTTCCGAGAGAGACTGATTCACTCCCTGCCCACCAGTCTGGAGAGGGCCCTGTCTGAGGACTCAGCCCCAACCAATGACACGGCTGCCAATTCTGCTTCACCTCCTGCAGAGACTGAGTTACAGGCAATGTGAGGATGGGGTCAGGGTTATTTTGAGTTCTGTTGATCCTACCCTAATGCCAGTTCCAGCTTGATCTACCTTTGAGTCATATTGAGGCATTCAAGGATGCACAGTTCAAGTATTTATTCAGGAAAAATGCTTTTGTGTCCCCGATTTGGGGCTAAGAAATAGACAGTCAGGCTACTATAATATTATTGTTATTTTTGGTTTTTTTGACTTCTGCCTATACACTGGGGTAAGTGGAGGTGGGAAACAGAAGAGAAAGAGTGGTGGGAATTTGTAAGACTTAGATGAGATAGCGCATAATAAGGGGAAGACTTTAAAGTACAAAGTAGAATGTTTGCTGTAGGTTTTTTATAGCTGTTTTTAAAAATCAGACTATGGAAGTTTTCTTCTATTTTTAGTTTGCTAAGAGTTTTCTGTTTCTTTTTCTTACATCATGAATGGACGTTGTATTTTATCAAATGCATTTTCTACATGTATTAAGTTGGTCATATTATTCTTCTTTTATGTAAATCATCATAAATAATGTTCATTAAGTTCTGAATGTTAAACTACTCTTGAATTCCTGGAATAAACCACACTTAGTCCTGATATACTTTAAATATTTATATCTCACAAGAGTTGGTTAGAATTTCTGTGTTTATGTTTATATAAAAATGGTTCTGTTATTTCACTTTTTCTACTATCCTTGCTAAGTTTTACATCAAACTTGTAATGGTCTCTTAAAAGGAATTGAGAAGTAATTCCTCTGATTCTGTTTTCTGGTGTTATGTCTTCATTAAATATTCAGAAAAACTCACCAGTGAAGCCAACTTGGTCTTGTGTTTTCTTTCTGGGAAGATTTTTAATAACAGGTTTGTTTTCTTTAATAGTCATTAGACTCTTCTGTTTTTTTGTTTTTTGTTTTTTCCTATCTGTCAGTTTTGGTAAACTGTGAGTTTTAAGGAATTTGGCCATTTAATTCAAACTGTCAAACTCATCAGCATGAAATAGTATAATAACTGTTTAAAAGTTATAAAACAGTATGAAACTTGGCCGAGCGCGGTGGCTCATGCCTGTAATCCCAGCACTTTGGGAGGCTGAAGCAGGCGGATCACCTGAGGTCAGGAGTTCGAGACCAGCCTGGCCACCATGGTAAAACCCCGGTTCTACTTAAAATACAAAAATTAGCCAGGCATGGTGGTACACACCTGTAATCCCAGCTACTTGGGAGGCTGAGGCAGGAGAATTGTTTGAACCCGGGAGGTGGAGGTTGCAGTGAGCCAAGATCGTGCCATTGCACTCCAGCCTGGGGAACAAGAGTGAGACTTTGTCTGAAAAAAAAAAAAAAGCATGAAACTTGAAATGCTTTCTTTTATTTATTTATTGATTTCTGATTTTTGTTCTTCTTCTTGTTATTATCCTAGAGCACAGCCTTTGGAGGTATGATTTCTTTTAAACAATGAAAATGTAAGCTCTCTGAAGTCAGGGATTTTGGTCTGTATGGTTTGCTGATTGAACCTCATCCTCTATATGTAAAATATTGTCTGATACGTAATAGACATTCATTAAATATTCATTGAATAAATGAATCAATAAACAATAGTATCACCTAGGTGTCAAGTGAGAGCTTTTCATATCAAATCAAAATTATCTCCAGTCCTCATTACACGAACCAGACCATGTCCAGTAAACACCCATCCTCAAGCACACAATATTTAGAAATTCTCATGTGGTTTACTTTTTTATGAATTTCTGGTTTTGAGCTTCTGCTTTAAGGAAAGTACCGTGGCTAACTGTTGCCTCACGCCTTTGTTTTGAAATAAATCAACCCACAAGAGTACTCAGCCCTTTACTTTGCTTTCAGGAAATAACCACTTAGAAATGGTCCTTCGGTGCGGAACGCACCTTCCGGATGCGCTAGCAAAAGACTCAACTCTGTGCGAATATGAGGCAGTCCTGTTATCAGCGTCCTCACTCACTCCACTGTTTTTACTCAGTCACATTTCCTCTCGTTTTCCCTCCTGTTTCTATTAAAGTTATTTGCATTTCCAACATTTCCAAAGCAGAGAAGTTTACTTAGTTCATTTGCATTCCCTTTTTTTTTTTTTTTTTTTTTTTTTGAGACGGAGTCTTGCTCCGTCGCCCAGGCTGGAGTGCAGTGGCCGGATCTCAGCTCACTGCAAGCTCCGCCTCCCGGGTTCCCGCCATTCTCCTGCCTCAGCCTCCCAAGTAGCTGGGACTACAGGCGCCCGCCACCTCACCCCGGCCAGTTTTTTGTATTTTTTAGTAGAGATTGGATTTCACCGTTTTAGCCAGGATGGTCTCGATCTCCTGAGCTTGTGATCCGCCCGTCTCGGCCTCCCAAAGTGCTGGGATTACAGGCTTGAGCCACCGCGCCCGGTTTTCATTTGCATTCTTGACTCCTAGAAATGCTTTCCAGTTCCTAAGAAAAGTATACCCTTTAATGCCCAACTAAGTTGTGGCCCAAGAAAATAAGGAACAAGGAGAAAATGCAAGAAGGAAAAACCAGGAACCAAGCACAGCCTATGACCTTGAGACAGGAGAATTAGGGCTTCTGGATTGGCTAATTAACAGCCTTCCTCCACTACCAGGAGAGAGGAGTCTTACTTTCCTTCCCACTGGCCTTGGTTAATTGCAGTGGAACAGGGCCTGCTGCATCCTCCCCATTTTTCTTTTCTTCACTGGAAGTTGTCACTGTGGATTCTCAGTTCCCATTGCACCCTTGAATACTGGGGTCTTCAAAAGCTGAGGATTCTTGGTGTTTATGGGACATTCGCCACCAATAAACATTTCCAGACTTGCTTGAATCTGGAAGTCGAAAATAAAACTCTGGGGATAGTGTCCATGGGAAAAACAAGACCACTTTTTCTGTTTGGGGAGAAGAGTGTAGAGAATGTTGAGTACCCAAAGGTGTAAGCTCCCCTGGAGACTGCCAGCTGCCTACCCAATATTCTTCCCCCTACTTTATTAACAAATGTGGGCAGCAATTCATTCAGCTAAAATAATCATTTTCTCAGTCATCCTTCCAGTTAGATGTGGGTAAATTCCAAGCAATAAGATACAAAAATAGTATCATATTAGTACATAAGGGGCTGCCTCATTATTTTATTAGCAGAGTGTTTATTGATTGATTGGTTGATTGGTTGAGACAGGGTTTCACTCTGTCACCTAGGCTGGAGTGACGGCTCATTGCAGCCTTGACTTCCCAGGCTTAGGTGGTTCTCCCACCTCAGCCTCTTGAGTAGCTGAGACTGCAGGCTTGTGCCACCATGCCCAGCTAATTTTTGTATTTTTTGTAAAGACAGGGTTTCACCAAGTCACCCAGGCTGGTCTTGAACTCCTGAGCTCAAGCAATCCTCCTGCCTTGTCCTCCTAAAGTGCTAGGATTATAGGTATGAGCCACCGTGCCTGGCCTAGAGTTTATTTTTTAGGGCAATTTTAGCTTCACAGCAAATTGGGAAGAAAATAAAGAGATTTCCCATAAACCCACTGCGTCCACGCATGCACAACTCCTCTCATTATCAACATCCCCCACCAGAGTCATACATTTCTCACAGTTGCTAGACCTACATAGATACATCATTAATCCAAAACCCACAGTTTCCATTAGGGTTCATTCTTGGTGTTTTACATTCAGTGGGTGATATGGTTAGGCTTTCCATCCCCACCCAGATCTCATCTTGAATTGTAATCCCCATCATCCCCAAGTGTCAAAGAAGACACCAGGTGGAGGTAATTGAATCACCAGGGCAGTTTCATGATGGTCTTGTGGTAGTGACTGAGTTCTCATGAGATCTTGATGGTTTTATAAGGGGCTCTTCCCCCTTCACCGGGCAATTCTGCTTCCTGCTGTCTTGTGAAGAAGGTAGCTTCTTTCCCCCTTGCCTTCTGCCATGATTGCAAGTTTCCTGAGGCCTCCCCAGCCATGCTGAACTCTGAGTCAATTAAACCTCTTTCCTTTCTCAATTACCCAGTCTCAGGCAGTTCTTTATAGCAGTATGAAAACAGACTAATACAGTGGGTTTGGACAAATGTATAATGACCTGTATTCACCATTACAGTATCATATAGACTCATTTCATTGCCCTAAAAATCCTCTGTGCTCTGCCTATTCACCCCTCCCTCCTCCCTATCCCTGGAAAACCACTGATATTTTCTTTGTGTTTATAGTTTTTTCCTGTTCCCGGATGTCATATAGTAGAAATCATGCAGTATGTAGCCTTTTACAATTGGCATCTCTCATTTAGTTAGGATGCATTTGGTTTCCTCCATGTCTTTTCATAGACTGATAGCTCATTTCTTTTTAGAATTGAATAATGTCCACTCTCTGGATGAACCATCATTTATATATCCATTCGCCTACTGAAAAACATCTTGGTTGCTTCCCAATTGGGCAATTATAAATAAAGATGCTATAAACATCCACATGCAGGTTTTTATGTGGACAGAAGTTTATAATTTGTTTGGATAAATACCAAAGAACATGACTGCTGGACTGTATGGTAAGCCTATGTTTAGTTGCATGGGAAACTGCCAAACGCTCTTCCAAGGTGTCTGTATCATTTTGCCTTCCCATCAATAATGAATGAGGATGTTTCATGTCTTTGCCAGCATTTGGTTTTGTCAGTGTTCTGGATTTTCGCCATTTCTAATAGGTAGAAATGGCCAAAGATAGGTAGAAATGGCGAATAATAGGTAGATTTTGGCCAAAGATACCAGGGTGGTATCTCATTGTTTTAACTTGCATTTCCCTGATGATATGTGATGTGGATCACCCTCTCATATGTTAACTTGGCATCTGTATATCTTCTTTCTTGAGGTGCCTGTTAAGGGCTTGGCCCATTTTTAAAATGGGCTTTCTGTATTCTTATTGTTGAGTTTTAGGGGTTCTTTGCATATTTCGGATAACAGTCTTTTATCTGATATGTCTTTTGCAATACTCCCACACAGAGCAGATTTTGTTTTTCTTTGTTTTGTTTTGTTTTTTTGAGACAGTCTCACTCTGTCACCCACACTGGAATGCAGTGGCACCATCACAGCTCACAGCAGCCTCAATCTCATGAACTCAAGTGATCCCCCCACTTCTTCCTCCCAAGTAGTTAGGACTACAGGTGTGCACCACTATGCCCAGCTCATCATTTATTTTCTGTAGAGATGGGGGTCTCACTTTTTCGCCCAGGCTGGTCTCAAATTCCTGGGCTCAAGTTATCCTCCCACCTCAGCCTCCCAAAGTGCTGGAATTACAGGTGTGAGCCACCATGCCCAGCCAGAAATTTTCAATTTTAATAAGAATTGCCTTCTTGATTCTTTCTTTCATGAATTATGCCTTTTGTTTTGTAATTACAAAGTCATTGCCAAACCAAACGTCATCTAGATTTTCTCCTATGTTATCTTCTAGGTGTTTTATAGTTTTGTCTTTTACATTTAGGTCTTTGATCCATTTTAAGTTAATTTTAGTGAAGCACATAAGGTCTGTTTCTAAATTTACTTTTTTGCACATGGATGTCTAGTCATTCCAGAACCATTTGTTGAAAAGACTATCTTTTCTCCACTGAATTGCCTTTGCTCCTTTGATAAAGATCACTTGACGATATTAATGTGAGTCTATTTCTGGACTCTCTATTCAGTTCCATTGATCTATTTGTCTGTTCTTTTGCCTATAGTACACTGTCTTGATTACTGTAGCTTTACAGTATGTCTTGAAATCAGATGGTGTCAGTCCTCCAACTTTGCTCTTCTTGTCCAATATTATGTTGGCTATACTGGTTCAACATTATGTTGGCTACACTGGTTCAATATTGTGT